AGGGACTATTATCAGTGCAGTTCTAGCTCCCAAAGTTCAAACTTTCCAGTGTTTGGAATAAATACAGTAGTTACCAATTGCCTTTAAATTTTTATTTTTCATATACATCTACATCCTGGCACATAGAGAAATATTCCAAGTACTTTATGTTTTTTATAGCTGTTTATTCTAAATGAAATAAAGCAGGCAATGTACAGACTAGATTACAGAGGGGATTTTACCTGCTGCTCTGAGGCCAGATGTGCATATAACCAACCCTGGGAAAGCACATTTTTAATTTTGCTGAACCACAAGACTGGAAATTAAATGAGAATTTCCATTCAGAGAGAGCAGGATTCCTGTAAGGGCATGAAGGGAAGATGTATGAGGTGAGGAAAGTATATTTAGGTATTGTCTGCCTGGATTATGCCATCTCCTTTAGATTTTCAAAGGAGTAGGAAACTATCTGGCTTGCATTCTCAGCAAGTTGGGCTTACAAATGTTACTGAAGTGTAATAGCTCCCCCTGCCAGGTTTAGATAATAAGCTGCATTTCCTACATGTCTAGATACCCTCACACACACTCCAGAAATAAATTAACACCTATGTTCCCGTTTGCTGTCACTTCTTTAATCTTCTATGATTATTAGATTAAAAGAAAAAAAAAAAACCTGCATCTGATACCTAATGTGTATTAAAGTAATTTTGTAAAACTTTCAAAGAAGCAGATATTAATATTAATTTGAATTTAGTGGGGGTGAGAGAAATGTAAAATTATTCTAAGCAGTAAGGGAGAAATAAACTAAATTACAAAATTTTAATTTTGCTTTAATTTACTGTTAACTTTTCAGTCTTCTATCAAATTACCCTATTTTTTAATCTCAGACACTTAATTTCATGAAAGATAATTGTGGTCTAAATCTGTTGACTGCTGATGAGCCAGGACCAAACTCTTTGTGTTGCACTGTGTTTGGTCCATTTTTGTCTTCAGCAAAACAATGAAAAGAGTTCAGAGCTAAGAGCCTTAACCTTCAGAAACCTACACTTGTGACTGATGCCAAGAAATCCTACAGGATGATGATGAAAGTCAAGCTATTAAAAAAAATTGTACCTGAACAGGTAGAAATCCAATCTCTCATGAAGTCCCCAGTCTTAAAAACACACAACAATTCTACAGACAGGTGAAAATATCTACATAAGTGTCTGTGTCTACAGAAGAGATAAAACGGTAATGACTATGCTGAAGTCTTGAAAATGTGAGTGTGAAAGTAAGTAAGTAAGTAATAATAATAATATGTACTTATTCAAGAAAATATATTTTTGCCATCCTCTGCTTCCTCTCCCATCTCATCCCCACCCTGGTTTATGCATTAATTTAGACCCAGCAAATTTTTTTATAATCTTGCAGTTAATTTTCAGTGAGTCAGTCAGGCATCCTTCACCTTTAATGCAAATTACCAGGGTATGTGATTAATGAATTTTTTATTGCTGGCTGTTTGCTATAGTCAGTTTGAAATATTGAGGAACTCTAAATTAGGTCCCCTGGAAATCATGGAATTGTTTAGGAAAGCGCAGTCCATAATGTAATAAAAAAATTGTTCTTCAACTTTTCTTTTTCAGCTGCTGCTACTTGAGATCACCTATTTTCCAAACTGGGACAAGTGGATTTTCCAAGTCCTTAAATTTAGTGTCCTACTCTGGGAGGAGCTGGATGTGTAAGAACAAAAGGAGAGGTGTGACATGGTACCTGTGGGAATCAAAAAGATGCGTGCTGGAAAAAAAGAATTCCTCTAGAAGAGACCAGCTTTGACTTTTAGAGGGAAGGCAGTGGCAGAGCCAGGCGAGGCTGGTGCTGGAGCCTCTTTTCTCTCCCTGTAAAATGTGTTAGAACAGGAAGTGTTTATGTGGAACTAAAAGTCCGCTTTGATCTCGCCGTAGTGACGGAGCTGACAACACAGCAAACAGTTGCAGAGTCTATCTGTCATGATTTGAGATGCTGAGCTTCAGGAATACACAAGAGGAGAAAAAAATTGAGATGAAGATAAATGTGCTTATTTCCTAATGGCTACTCCATTTCACTGTCATGAGCATGGGAATTCTCAGGCACAAAAAGCCCCATATTCAGAAAAAGTCATTCAAAAGACACCTATTTTTCAAGACTTTCCATTGCTAAGTGAGAAACACAAGGGTATACTTGAATTTTTTTTTACCCATTTTTTCACCCTTATTCCTCTCATAACTTCTAAGGAGCAAAAAAAAGTAATGGATTTCTAGCATTTAATATTTTGATATTAAACCATGGGACACTTCTGAGGCTGTGATCAACTCCAAGCTCAAATCCTGTGGTGCTGACAACTCTAATAGTATCAGGATGGATCCCAGGAAAAGCTGCAATTAAAATGAAGTTAAGGAATTTTTGCAGCTTGAAGTCTTGTGTCCTTTACAAGTGACACTTTTGTTTTTTATACCTGTTTGTATGAAATCAAACTCAAGGCTCCTGTTCAACACTGATCTGCAAATAGGGATCTATTTTGCCCATGTGACCAGAAGCTTGAAAAGTGAATATATGGTTTAAGAGACACCAAATAAATACAGGGACCTGTCAAAATAATGTTTGAGGGACAATATTGCAGATTCCCTAGATCATTAGTCACTTTTGAACATTTTACATTTCCATTCTATGGTCTGGATTCAGGAATCTATCTAGCAGGAAGCAAACTCCATAAAAAGAAAATGAAATCATAAAATTAATCACACATCAGAGAACCTCACCTATTAAGCATTTTTTCTTTCATAAAAGTATTACAACGACAGAAAATAAAACAATGCACGTTGATTTTTGGAAGAGCACAAGTCAAGAATAAAGAAAACAATCTAAGCTTTCATGGGAGGTGGACAAAATACAAAATAATTTTCATATTGTAATATTCTGCTTTCATCACGAGAAGACTTTAAGTCTCCTTTGTATGATTAAGGTACACAGGTCTTAAAATATAGAGTAGTGAAATGGTCAAGAGGTGACCAGGAAGAATAATTACACAGGAAAAGGACAAAGCACTCCTGTTCATGTCTCCAAGAGATTGGGGTATGGTTTGATTTGAGTTTATATCTGTTACTAAGCACAGAAAATTTTGTAAATGCATAATTAGCATGTCCATTTGACAGCCTACATGATCTGCCAGTACATCTGAGGGAAAAGATCAAAGCAGAGAATTCACAGACTTGTGCATGCAACGATGAAGTTATTGTATGACGTTTTTCAGTTTAACTACAAATTCCACTTGTATGTAAAAATGTCATTTACATTTTTGCAGAAGTTCTCCTAAATTAACTTTCATTATTTATTAATTTAACCTGATGATGTCTTATAATTAGAACTGCTGAGAGATTTACTACAGTGTGGCACATCCCTATAATTAGAACTGCATTGTTCACGACTGTAGAAGTTTTAAATGTGCTCACTCACACCTCTGGCTGCTTGAGGAATGAAGTGGGTGAAAGACTCAAAGACCCTGAAAATATGGGCATGTTTAAATACATATAACTATAATGTTACAAATCAAGGCTAAGAGTGGTTTATTTTAAGTGATTTAGATGGTAAATATATGATATGGAAGGTGAGTGAGTGGTAGCCCAGAAGTTGTTAGATTATAAAGCCTGGTTCCTTGGAGGTCTGGCTATATAGATATATATATGAATTTTGATATAGGAATAGGGGCAAATGATAGTTGCATGCCATAGTAATAATTGCTTTTTATTTACAGTAGTATGAATTACCTCCATTTTATACTGGAATAACAAAGACATAATCTGGTCACTGACTTTGCCCAACAGTTCTTTCAGCTAAAGGGTGACAGAACCAGAAATAACTCTATTCTCTTTTAAAAGGAAGAGAAATCATGAAATAAGGACATCACCAAACTATAGGTTTAACTCATTGCCTTTATTTCATATCAGAAGGATTGCCTTGTCCATCTGGGTCTCTAATGAGGCCAGCAAAGACAAAAGGAAGATGCTCTGTTCTCACTGACCTCCCTGGCAAGGCAGGGAGAGCAACTCCAGTTCTTTCAGGAGAGCTAAAACTGGGATGGCAAAGCAGCAAAACCTTCCTCTTTCCAGATGGAGCATTGTTAATATTCTGGATTTGCGGCGCTGAGCTATTTTGAAACAAATAAAACAAAGTAATAAAAAAGGAAGTTCATTTGCCATATGGCTGTTTATTTCTCTTGTGCTACACCTCAGAGATAAGTAATGTGTGGTTTCTCAATATGGCACATCCACATGCTCCTCCCAGGTGTAAAGGATCTAGCACACCTAGATTAACACAAGCCAAACTCCTTTTGATTGCATTGAACATGTGGCATGGTGGCTTAAGGGATTTTCTCCTCCAGCTGAAGTTTAAGACACATTTGACAGCCAGCAGAGGCAAAGATACATTTAGCACTGAAAGGAAGAGTACAAGGGGAAGAAGCAGGTGGATGCAAAAGCACAAAAGATAAAGTGGTTGGTTGTTGAATGTTTTCTGTGTGAAATTAGTGCTTGGGAATTTGGGATTCTGGCAGCCCAAACAAAGAAAGATTTGTGTAAAGGGAGAGTGAGACAAGAGCAGCAGCATCCCTGGCTCACCACCAGCAGGAGATTTGAGCAGATACAAATTTGAGCAGACAAAAATTTCTGGTGCCCACCAGAGAATGACCAGAAATGGCAAAACTTCCAGTATGCCTCAGACACTTCCAGGTGTGCTCAGGGAAGGAGTGTTGGCTGTGCTGCAGACAGTTCATGGCATTTGACAGTAAATATAAATAGCATGTATAAACATATTTATACGTATATAAAATATAGAAAGCAATATCTAGCTAATGTTGATTCAATCTCCAGAATTTTCCTTTGCAGCATAGGCCAGGCACAGTAGCTGCCCTTTCTGCCCTCTCCTCTCTTGTCTCAGCAGGTGCACCTTGAAACTTTTTAAAAAAATAAAATTAAAAAAAAAATTTGCTAAGGATCTTAACACCATGTTTGAATTAATTTTCCTGAATTTGCCAAAGCAATCAAAGGAAATCCAGGCCTGCTACAGCCACAAGCACTTCAGAAGTTTAGAGCATCAGTGTCTGCGTGCCTATTGCAGGAAAACTTTGGTGTGTGCTCTCTGCTCTGCTGCAGGGGGATAAAAGCATGGCTGGGGATGCCAGTGCCACATTGTAGGTAATATTATCCTTGCAGTAAGACGGTTCAAATCTAGAATGGGTAACTTAGAGAAGCTACTCTGTTACTTTTACCTTCTTTGGTCCTGATTTGAGGATTTCTCTCTGATTTCTAGGACGTGAATGGTGGTTTGGAGTAGAAACAACAGACCACTGTACATAGAAGTGAAGTGCATGTAGACACAGAAATATTCTGGGGGTATTACCACTCCCAGTCTCACAGCTCAGTGATGACCATATAATGTTCATGTGGAAAAAAGGAAAAGTGTACTGAGAAGCTCACTCTCAAAGCAATTATTTCCACACCTTCCCCTGACTGTTCATTAGGACAGCCATAAAAGAAAATCAGTGACAACATATAGTATCATTTAAATGACTTTGCAACCAATGGCATTCCAACCAAAGGCCTGAACCAAGGAAATAAGGATATGGTACCCATAGAAATCCAGCAATGTCTTGTTGTTTGTTTGCTTTGCTTTGTTTTAATTGAGATGAGACCTCAGAGTTCCTACAGGTTTTGCTGAGCAGAAAGTTCCAAGTAGGCATGGAGAGTAACTTGAGGGGGAAAAGTGTGGTAGCTCATCCATTTTAATTCTGGATAACAAGGCAAAACTTATCTGCTGATAGCTCTCTAGCTACTCTGATGATAGGAACCCCAGTACAAAGCACTTACTCATGCACTTAATTTTAAACCCAGCAGTAATCCTGATTGAATCAAGACCTCTACCTTTGTGCTTAAAGTAAAGCATGTGCTTAAGTACCTTTTTGTATAGGGGCCTTAATTACATTATGTGTGTGAGAGGATATGATAATTTTAGTTGGCTTTCCCAAGAGAGCCTTTAGTTAATAAAATAACTAGGTTTAATACTCCACAGAGTCGTATGGGAACAGAATTGTGCTCCTCCTCCTGAAGCCCAGCACAGGGTAGATGGTAATTTAATTGTTGGAAGCACAGAAAGTGCTGAAATGCTGTATGTCTTAATATTGTACTGCAGGAGCTTGTTTGTTTCTATTATGCAATACCTTGGGAAATCTGTGCAATGCTACTTGTTCATAACTATGTTTGAATTTACTGATGCTCAGTTCCAGACTTTAGCTGTTGTTCCAGATGAGAGAAGGAGGGAAAGAGTCAAATTAACAGGAATTTTTTTTAAAGAGAATGAATGAGAACAAAAGCAAAAATAAAACCCATGTTCTTTCCCAACAAAACCACCTGCTCCAGTGAGGAAAATTCAGCACAATAAAGAGAAGACCAAAATAAAAGTAGGGCAGATTTATTTGCAAATGGTTTCCTCAAAAGCCCTGATTATTCTATCATATGGTTCTGCTGAACATTTGAAGTGCATGGCTGTGAGAGACAGTGGTGAGCAGAGGAAGGACTGGTGAACTCACTGTAGATCCTCAGAAATCATCCTGAGGTTTTCATTCCAACCTTTGATTCTCTACAACATGCCCCCAAAATGTTTCCTGCACCACCAGCTGCTCCCAAAAGTGCTTAAAGCAACACCTCAAGGTATCAATTCGGGCTGGGCAGCTGCAGGCAGGTGGAACCCAAGAGCCAGGATTTTACACTGCACAATTTACTCTGACACCTATGGGATCTGGGAGACTTTTTTCCTACTTGTTGAGCTTATCTCAAGTGGTTTTATATACATAACATGAGTCTTTGTATAAAATTACATTGGGTAGTGCAGACCAGAGCTTCTTAAATGAAGCTTCCCATAGTGGTGACTCTTGTGAAACAGCTGAAGCAAGGCTGAGCCATATCACATCAGGATCTGACAATTCTTCATCACTCTATCTGTTTGCAGCAGCAAAGTTGATTTTCCTTAAATGGCAAAGAGCAATAATTTCTACTTGTTCATTAATACCTACTGTGATTTTATGCCATGGACAAGTTCTATGTTATATTTGTTTGACAGCATCACAGTGGGCTTTTACTGTATCTAAAAAACAGTCCTCACCTGGGAAAAGAACAAAAATATTTTGAATTAGTGTAAGAAATACATTTACATTAAAATAAAATTAAATAAAACAAATAAGTAAGAAGGAAATATTATATAATTTTTTACATATTTTTAATGGAAAAAATATCTTTTACCTCAAAATGGAGAGTGACATCTTAGCCCATACTTGTAATTTAGTATATGTAGTAATTTAGAATTAGGTTTTATAAAGCTAAAGATTAAAAAATTATCCATTAGAAGTGTTAACTATAAGTGGCTTCCAAGAAATTTCTCCTCAGTTCTCTTTGGGATTGACTAGCAAAAGGGATTTATGGAGCTAAGTACGTCTCCATGCACCCAACTCTCACAGTTTAACTCCTCATGGTCTATGGCCAGATGCCACCTTTTGGCCATCAGCCCGTCTGTGGTTCTGTAGGGTCAGGCATTCCACATATTTCCTGATGCTTGGAATGCAGCAATCCTTTTACACCTCCCTCTCATTGAGGGAGGAATGGATTAACAACAGTGATGTGTCTGTGGGGTTTTTCACAGAAAACCCAGCAGCTGTGGCAGCCTGCAGGTGTGCAGTGTAAATGAAGGCCTGCAGTGCCTTCCTGGACTGCAGAGTCATAGAGAAATTACTATTTTAATAGCTACATGCTCAGGAGTGTCCTCCCCAAACGTGGGCACGCAAGGCTGGCTGCTTTTCCAATCCCCTGTTAATGGCTGTGCAGGTGTACAAGCCCTCACGCAGGATTTTGGGGGAGAGGTTGGATAAAACCAGCGCGGGTGTTGGGAAATTGCAGTTAAAAAAGTGATTTTCAATAATGTTACTATTTACAGGCTTAACCTTGCTTCCATCTGAGTCAGCAGCAGACATCCAATGATTTCAATACTGGAGGCTAAAGCACTCAATACCTTTCAAACTATAAGGTCAGAACACAAATTCTTGATGTACAGACCCCCAGACAGCAAGGGAAAGAGGGGAAGAAATGAAACTCTGTAACAGAGATGTTCATAAATTTGAGACCTCTGCTCATCAGCATCAAATTTCAATTTGAATATGTATAAATTTCTAAGTAATAGAGGAACTAAGCTGGCAAAGCACATATATATTAGTCTAAACTCAGATTAGTTTCAGATACATGTAACAAACAGCATCCAACTTCAATCACTTGCATAGTAAAAGTATTTGAATGGCTTAAACTTAGCCATATGCTTAAATCTCTAATGAACAGAGACCAGACTGCCTTTTTTAAAAAAAGTCTTGCATTTAACATTTGCCTAAATACCGATTTAGGCTCAGGGACTTAAATCTATGGAATAATTTTAATTTAGGAAGACAGAGGTAAAAAGGGGGAGGAAATTATTTCCCTCTTCTGAGATGGAAAATCAGACAGAAAGGGACTCTGATATTCCATATAACAGCCCACAGCATCCTCCCCCTTCTGTTTTCACTGTAAATAAAAGTTCACTTACTGCCATGCACTTCACAGGAAACAACTAATTTGAAAACTGCTATTACATCTCCCCTCAGTTTTCTGATGTTCAGACTAAACAAGTCCAGTCCTCTCAAATTTGCTTGTAAGACATTTTTTTATATGTCTTTGATCATATTTGTCATCTTCCTGCGGACTGCTCCTGCTTTCTTCACATCTCTCTTAAAATGTAGTAACATGAACAGGAGATCAGAGTTGAGGGCTTTACCAGAAAATTGAAAATATTACTTGCTGGGATTTATATGTGACGCTTCTTTTTATACACGGTGGCAAGAGTGGTTAAAATGATTATTTTTTGTACAGATTACAGATTTTCCCTTATAACCCCAAAATAATTTTTGGCAAATCTACTGTGCCCTACCTCATCTTATATTGGTGCAGAAGTCACAAGCTTGGTCATAGAGAATAAAATTAAGCATAGCTGCTTGGCCTGTTCATTACTTAACCACCCCTTATTTTTCCAGACTGTGATTCTAATTTGCTAAAATTGGTTTGAATTCTAATCTTAAAGGTGCTTGAGAGTTGTCCCAATTGGTTATAATCCACAAAAATTAATAAACATGCTCAGTTCCACCCTTCAGTACTAAAAATGGAGAATAATACCAAACTCAGGAGAGGTGAAAAAATATGACTCCTTTTCTGCATTGCCCCAGTGTAAAGAAATCAATTTAGAACTGTTTTGGCTTTGTTTTTTTTTTAAATTGCCTTTTAATTCACTTTTCTAACTAGATGTGCGTACAACACTTGCCCATTTTGCATTTTCTTGCTTTATTTATGGTAACATCTTTCAAATCATGTCAGAATCAGATGGAGACTCACAACCACTTCATTCCATGAATGCTGTTACCCTGCCATTGAAGGAAAAGTGATTGGTTTGACAGCTTAGTCTGATGTATCTGTCAGTTGTTACTTATCACTTTTACATCCTTTGCTTACAGGTGAGTTGAGCATTGCTCCTTATCTATTTGGCCTAGAATTTCTTTATCTGCAATTCTCCCCTGTTTAAAAATCAGATACTACATTCCCCCATTTCCTATATTCTAGATTTCCAATCATTCTCTCATTTTCCTAGTCACCTGTTCTAGATTATTTCAGCACATCCAGAAATAATAGAAAAAGTTCATATTTTTCAAACTAATCTCTAATTTATTCTTTGCCTATATGAATCTCAATTCTTTGTGGTGGAAAACTGACTTTTTTTCTTTTAACTGAAGAATGGAGGAAAAAAACCCTTGAGAATTCAACACCATCTTTATAATTTTTAATGTAATCCAGTAGCTAATAAGGAAACTAAAAAGGGGTTCTCATGGGCAGAATCAAAATTAGCAGAATTTATCCAAAACATATCCCAACAATGAAACCAAAGATGTGGGGTTTAGTTTAATATTTTTCCTTTACTGTATGGGCACACACTTATATAAATATATTTCTATTAAATTGCATACTGAGCAATTGAAATATCAGATTAGCAGGAAGATGAAATAGTTTGAAAGCTATTTTAAAAACACATTTCTACATCTGTACAATTATTAAAATCTTGGGAAAAAGCTCCCTTTTACTTTTTTCATTGAACAGAAAATACAGTAATTATAGTTCTGTGCCATGTTGTTCCCAACCTATCATAATAAATATTTTTCATGCATTTCTTTTTTCACTTTCTCATCTATTGATTCCTGTGCAAAAGTGAATTTAACATGATGCAGAACCTTGCAGATGGGCAAGGTTCCCCTTTGTATTTGGTGGGAACAATTTATACACACTTCATTGATAGTTCTTCTACATTCATGTGAATATTGCAATTTTTTTGTATATTTTATGAACAAAGGAAGGAGGAATGTAAAAGTGTTGGGATGAACCTGGTGACATGGAAGGACTTTTTCAGCCTGATGAGCAGAGAAGAGAAATTAAGGCATAGGATGGAAAGGATCCATAATAGCCATAATCTGGAAAGCCATAATAGCCAAAATAATCTGGAAAATTTTAAAATTGCCAAAGGTACAAACCAAATAACCATGACTGTAACTTTGCATTATCACCCCAAGTTTCCTGGCCCACTTAATACTGCACCCTGGAAACGAGGAGTTCATAAATGTTAAATTAGACAGACTCTGCTCTGTGATGCCAGCCATGGCTGTGACCTAAAGCAAGAATATAGAATGCCTTTCAGTCAGAGAGTCTGTCACTCTCATTCCCTTTGATGCTCTCCCTTCACTTTCAGGAGGAGAGCACAGGGAGTTAAGGTTGGTGGCCTGCTCCCCTGTTGTCCCTTATTTTACAGGCACTGAAATCCAGATGAAACCTTGAGCCACGCACACAAAATCCCCTTCGCTTTCATCAGTAACTTTCTCCTTCATGAAAGTTTCCATCAGAGGGCCGGTGAGCCTTATTATACAGTCACCCAGCTCTGGTTTCCACACAGCCATGGCAAAGCAAGCATTGTAGAAACTCCCAGAAAAGGCTCCTTCATCTGAGCACACACATCTTTGTTCCTCCAGCTTTGAGAAGTGAACGAAATCTCTGTGGGTGCCCCGGCTCCTGCAGATCACAGGGGCTCTGTGGCCCCTCGTAACCTCCCCGGTTGTCTTTTCTCTGACAGCAGCATCCCTACACACACAGGGAAGGCTGAGTCAGCAGCCCAGGCCTGCCATCCCTTTGTTGGAAACCTGTCCACAAACATCAGCTGTAGGCCTGTGCTCTAGCAAACTTCTCTCCCTGTCAAAACTGAACGTCTTTATCACGTGCCTGGGGTTTTGGAAGGTGGGGCAAAGCTTGGGGACTCTCCTCTGACTAAAAATTGGAAACTGGACTTGGATTTGGTCAGAAATGCCTGAAACATTCACACCCTTCTGTTCCTCACTGGGTATAATAAAGCTGGCCCATAGTTAACATATCAAGGACATATCAAGGCTGATTTCTTCTTAAATCAGCACAAGATTGCAGATTTTTTTTTTGTTTTGCTTGGCATCTTGATTAGACTGCTAGGCTGTCTGTCATTTTTTGTTTTTCGGGACTGATGGCAATCTCCTTAACAGGGTTAGAGCACATTACAAAATGTCTGGAGCTCAGCCTATGCTAATGTCCCTACTGCTGCTTCTGCTTTGAGGAAGCAACTGGAGACGAATGACTGGGCTTAACTTCCTAATTAAGGAAGAGCTGGAGGGGATACATCATGGGCAGTAGGGGAAAAAAAAAAAGAAGAAAAGGAATTTTTTCCTGGTTTATGCTTCAAATGATTCATGACTTGCAATACATCATATGCAGTCCTGGTTCAACTAGAGTCTTAGGCAAGTGTATTGCTTTAACTTGTAACCTTTTCTGAAAACCACTGGAAAATTGAGTAGGGTTTCATTTCGAAAATGAAAGACTAAGTGAGGACAGAAGTTAGACTGGAGAGGAACTGTGTTTTTTCTACTGTTTTCAACACTAGCTAAGGATACTTTTTTCACATTAGTCTTTTGTAACTGATCCCCTTTATTGGGACTAAAGATTGATGTGTCTATCACTTCAGAAACATGTCTTGTTTCACTATGACTTTAACAAGCCTGCAAGATCTAAAAAGTTTGTAGGGATACAAGAACTCACAACCAATACTGAAGTACCCTACGCTCAGCTTTGGTCAACTCCATGTCCACCTGAATAAATGTCATGATCTAAGGGTCTGTCATACATAAGTAACATCTATATAGCATTGTTCATAGGACAACACCCCTAAAACTGAAATAGATTAAAGTTTTCCTTCTCTTCTGTTGTCACAATTTCTACAAAACAGATGCTTTCCTGAAGAAGTCTTCCATTCAGCACCTCTACCATCTTACTTCCTCCCTAAAAAAGTACCAAGAAATATTTATGACATGCAAAAAGGCTTCCATTTCTAAGGATATGAAATGTGTTCACTTTCTTATAAGAAATAGAGCATTACACTTGGGTTTACATTTAAATATGATTTCTGAAAACTAATAAAAAAATTAGAAATGTTGGTGCACAGGAAAATGACAAGTGAGAAAAAAATGCATATAAAAATATCCACAGGATAGCGTGGGGAACTAAATGGGGGAAAATTTCTTTTGCTTTGGAGAGAGCATTATGTAGGCAAGGCAATTTTATTAGCACGGTTGGATAAAATATAAAGGGTTTTCCTAATCTCAGAGACTTCAAAAGAGAATTTTTTTGAGACAATATTAATATCAAAGCCAGTTGTCACTATTATTAAAATGTTCTTTGCTCTTCATTAGTCACAAATGATCCCCTCGACTCACAAAAAGGTACTCGGTAAATTAAAAGCTTTTATGTAACACTCCAACAAAAGTTGAATGACTCCAGAGTTAAAAGGCAACTCTTGTGTCTGTCAATATTCAAAGTGGTACCCAATTTTTTCCTTTTTTAAAGTAGCAATTTCCTTGGGGTATTTATTCATTTACAGATCTATTAAGAGACCGATGAGGAACGGACGATTAATGAAAATCTTTGTCACTCCGACTTCTCGCAAGCAATCATTAAAGGCCTGATTTTGCATGGTGGGCAGCCTGCTAGGGCCATGTAAAATCCCTCAGGAGGATAAACAGGCCTATCCATCTCAAGGATTTATGTCTGTGTGAGGGTAAAGTGGTAATTCCTGGTGCTGGGTGCTCTTCCTAAGGCACTCAGCCTAAGCTCCTCAAAAGAGTTTGTTTGCTGATCGCGTTAGCCGGCGCACAGCTCATCCCTCTGGTGGGCTGCATTGTGCCACTCTTAATCGCCCTTTAATTGCAGTCTCACCCTGCTGGACTTCATGGGGGCTCCTCACCCACTCCATGGTGAAAGACTGGAGAATAGGATTATGGGATTTCCTTGATGTAGGCACAGAAATGCCACACATGGTGTGGGGAAGTCACCGGGATTTGCCCACCGCTGGATTTATGCTTGGAGTTTTCCCTCCACTGAGCCTTCTCTGAGGCTGAGACATGGGGACTAAGGATCCAGAGTTGATTTTCCCCTTCAGATAACCCTGCTGCTGGTACCATTTATCTACTGTGTCTTTGCCTTGTGGGAAGGTTGGTGCTGGAATGGTGCAGGCAGCACTGAGAACCAGATTTCCAGGATTTTATGCCTGCCCTGATACTGATTTGCCTTGTGCCTTCAGTTGTATCACTTTTCCCCTTTGTGCCTCAATTTTTTCTATTTATAAAATGGGAAAAGAAACTGTGAGCTAAGGCTGAATTAATACCTTTAGACTGCAATAGAAAGGTAATATAGTAGTACAAAGTATTAATTATTATATTATCTCTCTCTTTTTAATGGATTTATATTTAATTCAGTTACAGAGAGACACTTTGTTCGCATAATAACATTTTCTACTGCCTTTGAGGCTCACAGGAGCAAGCTTGTGGGAAGGAAACTGGTAAGTGTTTGAATTTAGAAATGCTGCTGGTTTCAGTGTATTTAAAATGCTGTTGAAGTCGGGACGATTTAAATGTGTGAGATTTCAAATGTCTCATTGACACACATCGCAAATTCCTTCATTGCCTGAGGGAGCTACAGCAAAAGGGAAAGTTGGAGTCTTTTAGTTTCACAGTTAAGGCAGCTTTTTTTTAAAGTGAGTTAATGATGGAGCATTTGCCTGTGCAGTTGTAACAGAGCAATCTGTCACTGTGAGAAGACTCCTGGGGTGACTACCAAGACATGTTAACTAGCAATGGCTCCTCCGCTGCACATGACCCATTGCTCACCCTGGTGTTGCAATATATTCCAGCCAGATTCCTGAGTGAGAAATGGGAATGGATTCAGGTTTTGAACAGAGGCACAGGCCTCACTCAGCTTGTAAAAACTGAGGGTGAGGGGACTCTGCTGGGGGAACAAGCTGAGGGTCTGACCGACCCTCAGTTCTTTTTCTATTTCTGCACTCAGCATTGAGGGGTGCATCTGCTGTTTTGTCACAGAGCTGGATCCTCTCATGGTCCCCTCACTACACACCCCACTCTGGGACATGCTGTAAGCACACACTCATTGATCTTTACTCCATCTGATGACAGATACAAATCTGCTGCCACTGCACCTTATGCTAATGTTCAAATGAAAACGAATAGTATGCACTGAGGCACACCAGGTTGCACTTTACCTTCCTGTATGTATTTATTTGGGAATGTGATGCTGAAACCAGCCTTCTGGGCCCATCTCCTGGTCTCAGCTCCAGAACAGCATGAGATTTGCAGGTGTGTGAATTCCCCTGCATTAGGACTTGTTTACTTGGCAGGGGAACCAAGGTCTCTTGGCTGAAAAAAGCAACCAAGTGGTCTGAAAAAATTCTTGCCCTGGGCATAGGGCAAACAGGACCATAGCTTATTCCTGTAATTTGTTTCAAGGTCACAATTTGTGTTACACAAGACTGGTACAGTCTTTCAGTGATGCTGGATAAAGCACAATTGGCTTGGACTCTCCCATTCAAGCCATTTATGATGATGGAGTACCAAACTGCATGCCCTGGACATTTGTAACAGAAAAAAAGGTCAAAGTGAAACCAGGCTTCCTACCTTTCCACCTTCATTCTGTGTGTGGTGCAATTCTCAATGGAATATGGCTGGATGAAACATGTCTCAGAAATATGCAGTGATATTCCACGTGAAAGTTTCTGTTGCAGTCAACGACCAAATCCTCCATTTTGTTCTCCAAAGCTGTAATTTCAGCTGATGCCTATGTCCAAATAAAAAATCAAAAATATGAGTAAACCAAATCCAATATATCTCATATACTCCCCCAGCGCCCAGAGGATAACATATTCCATATATCTAATACATTTTTTCTGGTTTTGGAATTGAAACTCTGGAATTGCAGCTGCTGATTGTGAATAATGTTTGAAATGAGAACTCCAATGCCTGGCAACTCTTTCAGTGAAGAAATTCTTCCTGATGTCCAACTGAACCTTTCCGGGCACAGCCTGAGGCCATTTCTAATCCTGTTGGAAATGTTGTCCCTGTAAACTAAAACTCAGTCTCAGGAGATTCTGTGTGGGATCACATCTACTTTGTTTCTGTCAAGATTCTCTTCAGGACTGGAAAATTATTTTCTTTTCATGTCACACTGTTCTACACCCAGAGAAATTATTTGTTCCATTATTTGTACAGAAATCAACAAAACCTCATTTTATCTGGAATTTCGCCCCACATCCTCTACAGATACCAACCTCAACAAATTATTTTTCTTTCCACCTCACTCTTAAGAATCAGCTCTAAACTTATTTGTCCATATAATTCCAACTTCCCCAGTCCTTCCCTGTGAGATGATGATGTTTCCTCATTCTGCTGTCAGATAAGCCTTTTTTTGTGTGTTCTACCACAGAATCTCCATCCACTCTGTGTCCCCTACCTGAGTTCCTCTGTGGTTGAACAGGAGACAGCACTTACCATGGCTGATCTGGTACATTGGGCACCCTGACTGATTGATTTGCCAGCCAGCTGAGATGAAAGAGCAGGGATGACTGCTGCATTCCCTGCTTTTCCCTCAAGGGAATAATTTAAAATCGTTCCCTTCTACCACCATTTGTGGAAAATACCAACTGCCAGAAGACCTGAAGGAACTGAGACCCCTATCCAGTCTAAGATTTGAATGAAGTTGCCTCATAGGTGTGATTGACAGGCAGATCAAGCGATTTTTATTTTTAGCTAGGTTCCTAAGAAAAAAATATCAATTTGTAGTATGTTTCAGTCAATCTGACTCTGAAGAGAAGATCGGGAACCTTTATCATTTTTCCTTAATCTGACATATCTAATTACACTCTGTGTTCTGATACAGAGCTGGTAAAGGGTATTTCTTTTTGTAAGACTGGATATTAACACAGGCCCTGAACACTGCTGGGACTTCCAGATGTCACTGTAGTAAAACTAAGTAAAGGTAACCTTATGAAAAATTTCTCTGAGCTGCAGCACATTCCCACACCTGCAGGGAATAAAGATACTAAAGGTACATTACAAAACAACCCAGAATGCAGAATCATACAATCTCCTGAGTTGGAAGGGACTAACAAAGATCATCAAAGCCCAACTCCTGGGCTTGCACAGAACACCCCAAAAATGACACAATAATTTGGCACTCTGTCAGGCTTGTGCCAACTCCTGCTGGATTCTTGTAACTAAGAATCTGGTCACAAATCTGGCCATGACCATTTCCCTAGGGAGCCTGTTCAGTACCCAAGCACCCTCTGGCTGAAGAATTTTTTTCCCTGATATTCAGCCTAAACCTCCCCTGACTCAGCTTTGTGCTGTTTGCTCAAGTTGTGTCACAGGTCATGAGTGAAAGATTCAGTGCCTGCCCCTCTGAGGAAGCTGTAGACATCAAAGAGATCTTCCATCAGTCTCTTCTAGAAGAAATGAAGAATCTGGAGTGGAAAGAAAAGCAACATTGCAGGGAAACCTGTGCTGTCTGCATGTTCAGTTTTCCCAGAGCGAGTTCTCTGATCACTCTGGACCGGCACATTACCTGGGCGTCAGGCTTTGCTTAACTAGCAAAATCATCCCTGCTCTTGCAGGAGCAGAGCCACTTAGTGCCTGTTCACAGACCACTTTGGTTCAGGCTATCTGCTGTTCTAATGAACATATCACAGCAATAGCTCAGAGCTCCCCATATTTCCAAAAAGCATATGTTAAACAATGTAAGCAAAGAGAAACCCTAACAGGCTTCGCTTGTCCTCACAGTCCATCTGTTTCCCACTCCCCACTGAGCACATCTCCTCTCCTGGTTCCCTTTCAGGTGCACTCTTACCTTATGTAACGTGCTTTTTATTGGAGATTCATGCTGTGACCCTGTCAGAATTGCTACAGCAGGGGTGACCTCGGTAATGACTGTCCACAGCCTGCCAAGCTAAGTTGGTCAGTGTTAGCTGATTAAACTTTTAACAACATCCCCTGTGCGATAAAGGGCAAAATGACAACTTTGCCCATCGTCAAGGTGTCTGTATAATAAACTAATTAGTAAACCACACAGTCTGTGGAGCTTTTAATGAGTGCTATCGTCTGGCCTCTGTAATAAAAACCCAGTCTGCCCCCTTTTGGGATTCAATTAAGGCACAGACTGTCATATGCTTGGCCTGGCTGATCAATGAATCCATTCCGACCTTTGTCGGAGCTGTTTGCAAGGTCACTGGCAGGAGTGAGGGAAGCCAGCCTGGTGCTGGGGAGACAAACCCACCAGCCTCAGCTGCTAATGTCCTCCAGCTCCTTTGACATCAGCAGAAGTTTCTCTCCCACAAAGGTTAGCTGAAAGAGAATGTGGCAATATGCATATATATAAAATTATAATATATGGATGCCAGTTCCTCTGAACAGAAAGGTTTCCCTGTTATTTAAAAAGTTCATTAATTCCTTCACATCTGCATACACCTAGACACCTGTGGGGTTTTTAAGCACCAAAATGTGCTGTCGAATGTTTGCTCTCTAAGCTGCATTTATTGCTATGATCCAGATACACAAACAAAACAAACACAATGGAGTAGCCTTAGATTATACAAAACAACCCCCTTTTCAGGTCCTTGCATACAAATAATACTTATCACTATACAATTCCAGAAGTGGTTTATAGTGCTGAAATAATTTTTATGGTGCTCCATTACAATTTTACAGACAGGAAAATTTCTTGGGGAAAAAAAAGTCAGACAAGCAATGACCCAATGAGACATCCAAGGGCTGTAGTGAAGGCATCTTTAAAAGTAAAGATTTCAGGTTTCAGCCCTTCCACTTCTCAGGAGGATAAACAGGAGTCAGGGGACTGGCAGAGTGAAGACAAGGCCTTTAGTGTCATTATCACTCGTGCTGAGCAGTGCTTAGGTACCTGAGCTCCAGGCAAGCTCTGTCCACAGGTACGCTGCCACCAATGATGTGCTTGGTTTTTATTACTGCTGGAACCTCCAGATCTCCCAAACATCACTCCCTACAGCCCACAGGAAAGCACTGCATTAGGTGCTATGGCAGGGCCACCAGAGATTGTCCCCTACTGTGAAATTCGCAATCAGAAGAGCAAAAAACCAGATGGAGTTCATGAATTCACTCTGCACGTGTGAGAACACTAACCTCCATACAGTGGGCTTTCTCTCCTGTCCTCTTCCTTTTTTCATTCCAATTGAATAATCTTTCCTCTGCCACTTCATGGTATTTTATAGCCTGGGGAATAAGGAGGTGACTGAAAGGTGATTTTTAACTGCTGTGATGCAAAGCAAGGGAAAAAAGAGTCTGGTCACAATTGTCCTGCTGATTCAGAAGCTGAGCAATCTCTGCAGGTAATACGCACTAGAATCTATATCAAGAGATCAAGTTCTGTTGGTCTTTAAATACCAAAACTAGCTCTCAGATCTTTAAGACAGGTTTTAAGTTGTGCCTATATGGTCTTACCAACCTCAAGACACTCTAGACATATATATAGGAGTAGCAGTAGGTCATATGCATTAAAGAAAGAATATTTTCTTCATATTTCAAAGAAAAACTTGAAAAAGGTACACATAGATGTAAAACAAATTTAAGATTAAATAGGTTTTACACTAAAGAATAGCTTAAAACATTCCATGTGTTATTCTCTTTCATTCTGCACCAAGAATTTAAAACTTTGAGAAAATAAATGATATAAAATATTTAGTAACTATATAAAATAATTACCTTCATTGTATCTTTTCTGAGTTTCCCAGCTGTCCTTTTCTATCAGCTGCTGATTTACAGCCCTAAACTTAGAAATAGCAAACATCATACACTTGGATGCTATCAACCCAATTCTTACCAACTGAGCAAAGGTGTTTTGAAAATTTACTGGCCCAGACCTCAATGGAAACCTCACAGCTTTACTAAGGATGTTACTGTGTGCAATCTAATTAGCTCTTTTTATGGTTAAATTTACTTTTGCTTGGGTTTGCTGATGGCTGGAACAGTACTCAGATTAATATGCAAGGAGGCACCATGAAGTTGAGTGACTTGTGCCTCACCTAAAAGCCACGCACAGACTTTGAGCAGTTTGACTTTTTGGCTGGTGGAATTACCATGAATACTCACCTGCAGCATGGCAGCACCCTCTGCTAGAGGTGAGGAGAAGGTGCTATGAATTCAGATTTTCACTGTTTTCAATCATTACTCACTGTGGGCCTTTCCTCAAGGCCCAACCTTGAAAACTAGCTCTTCTTCCCAGTATTAAGTAACAGGTGACTGAAAAATATGAAATTTTTAGCTACCCTTTTCACTCACATTGCAGAATAATGGAAAATTCTTTAGGAAAACCCTCTGAAGTTGCATACTAGAGATCAAGACCGCAAAAATAAATATCCTGTAAGCTTAACCTCTCTTTTCTTTATGCCTTGCAGGGGCATTTTGCATCAGCACTTAGGCAGCTGTTGTAGTGCAAGATGTGGTTTGTCCACAGGGATCCTCTCTGCACAGAACACAGCTGGGACAGGCAAAGCAGGTCCAGTTTGATCATGAGCATGGGAGGTGTGATGTAGGCAGGAGGCATGGCAGAGCATCCTGACTGGAGAGAAGGGCAAAATATCTTAGCTAAATATGGATTAGATGAAGTCTTGAGGCTGCTCCAACTTCTGAGAAGGGCTGGAGAGGCTTGGCTGGCACCAAGGTATGGGAAATCAAGGGAATCCTGATGAAGGGGAGAAATGATGAGGAGGACTATATGGATATCAGAAGGCTAATTAAATATTATATTATATTATA